AATATATGCTTAGAAATTATGGGAAGGGGAGGGGTGGTCATTGATTTTGTACATGACAAGCAGGGGGTCACTTATTTTGTACATGAGTTTTAGGGGGGCGGGTCATTCACATTGTACATGCTTCTACATAAAAATCATCATCCAACACACACACACACACACACACACACACACACGCCATAAATTATGAACGGTCCCTAATGAAGGCCTTCTACTTCCACCAGAACAGGAAACGAGTTTGCTATATACATGATAGACAGGCCGTGTTGATAAGAAGGAAATACAGTAGGCACCTTTAAAGAGATAGAGACAGTTAAGAACATTTCAAAGAATCATCTAGCAAGTCAACCCTTCAATAGCCGAGCCAAGATGGGGTCCTCCACTCCTGACGTGCAGGGTCGAGGCTCGCAAACCCTTTCAGCACACCGGGTCCAAGGCGTCTCACTCCTGGGACAGTATATGTTAGAGGAGCTGTATGGCTTATGATTCAACACGACACGAGACAACTCGTCTCTTGCTTTACTGACACTCACAAGTAAACAAACGTTACCAGACGAAACGAGACTCAAGACCGAAGCTCGTTTGACAAAGGGAGATAACTCCCTTTTCTGACAACCTCTCAAGCAAACCTGTATCAGCGAAGAGTGAAGACCAACTTCATCCACGCTCGAATGATCAAGATAAAAAAGTTATGTATATGCACCTCATTAACAATACTTTATTCACAACACCTTTAATAATCCGTCCGATTACGATATAATATACAACGTGTCACATTACTTTACTCACAATACGTAGGGAAGCCTAGTAGTCTAGTGGTTAAAGCGTTGGCTCGTCACGCCGAAGACCCGGGTTCGAATCCCCACTTGGGTACAATGTGTGAAGCCCATTCCTGGTGTCCCCCGCCGTGATGTTGCTGGAATATTGCTTAAAGCGGCGTAAAACCAAACTCAGTCAGTCAGTCAGTAGTAGTCCCACATGGGTACAGTGTGTGAAGCCCATTTCTATTTTCCCCCGTCATGATATTGCTGGAATATTGCTAAAAGCGGCGTAAAGCTAAACTCACTCATTCACCAAAAAGGTAGTATCATCTACATCACTGAAAGTCTATCACCTAGATGATGAAATGTTTTTAGACTGTGACACAAATACTCTTCACATGAACACCTGCATGCATGAGCGTACAGCCCGTGAAGGTCCGGGTTAGAATATTGATTTTCAGCAACCTATGCTTGTCGTAAGAGGCGACTAACGGAATCGGGTGATCGGTGTCCTCCCATAAGAACTACACCCCATAAGAACTACAGCTTAAAATAACACAATAATGTTATGGTCCTTACATTTTTGCTGCGGCAGTTCATGTTGGTTTTGATTGTAAATAGTTTGCCTTCACAAAATGTAAATTTGCAGTCTTCAGTTCCGCATCGAGGTGTTTATCATTTTGTTACACTGACTGATAAACCTTTTTTTATAGTATCGCTTTTATACAAAATTGGAAGATTTACTTTTATATGGAACGACCGAGGTTTAACTAATGGAAATAAATTACGTACATTCAGATTGTTCAAGTCCAGTCTAAACGCCGAAGCTTACCTAAGCTCGATATCTAACCGACGTCGTCGTAGTATACTCATGCCAATAATGGTTGTCACCCCCTTCAATTTTTTTAATTGGAGAGGGGGTGTGGGGTTGGGGTGGGGGGCATGGGTGCAAAACTGAGGTGACAACCTATTATTGGCATGAGTATATATTAGCAAAACTGAGGTGCGGTACTCTCCCTCTTGAAATCGAACTAGGAAGATTCAGTCGTCCCCCTATCCCTCTCCAGGAACGAATTTGTAAATGTTGTGATCTTGGCGAGATCGAGGATGAATTTCACTTTCTGATGAAATGTAACCTCTATACAGATATCCGTGCTGATTTGTTTCTTTTGTTTTCATAAGTGTCTCTCTTGGGACTTAATTTTTACTGCTTTATGAACAGCATTTTCAACTACCGAAGAAGATACATGTATGTCTTATATATCTATTACATATTACCTATTGTCACTAAATGTAACGTCATACGCATGATGAAGACATAGCATAGCTACTACCGTTTTGCGTCGCCTATAACGACACTTAGTTTTCATTGTACACATGAAGAGCCGTTGACCGGCGAAAGATAATGCAGATGAAGTCTGAAGTTTTATGTATAGATTTATAGATAGTTCATCTATAGATAGGCTTATATATTTAGTGTGATAATTTAGTGTCACTTTCATCCTCGGTGTCCAATCTGATATATGTAGAACTAGTTTAGCCCATCTTCAATAAGCAGCCACCTGCATCGAGGTCCTGGGTTGCAGTCTATACAAGTCAAAACATTTATTACACAACAGTCTCGTTTCCTGATGACTGGGTTCCGTCCTATTGCGTAACTTAGTACAATAGCCAGTCCAGAATTTTGAGATCAATTCATTTAACTGGATACATAAATATTAATCAGTATTATTTGATACATCTAAGCACTTGTATATTGAAACACTACGCTCCTTATAACCATTGCAAACATGTCGTGCAGCGTGCTCTGTCGTACAGCGAGCACTGACAAACAGAAATCTGGAAATCGTGGAAATGTCAAAACGAGGCTCTGCCGCTGGAAAGGTTTGGCGATCTGGTACCGGCTTGATATTATATCAATCACATTGTGCGCGTTACAGAACTACACTGAATAAGCGCAAAAAACACATAACAGGTGTAACCAGTGAGCCAGATGCATTTTGAATCATTTTACGACCTCATCAAACTGGGGCTGTCTGTGACGTTTAAAATTAAAATTAATTTGTAAATACCATTTTCTTATGAAACAAGGATTTGGAATTCAGTGTAACCATAGTTGGCTGAGATGTCTATTTTCACTTTCACACGAGAAAATTCGGATCGTCTGAAAAGTAGGTCATTGTCTGCATAGGTTAATGAGACTCATGTTTCGGTTTGCAATACTATATTAACTCATTTGTTTATATTTCACCTTTACTCTCATATACTAAGCTTGGCTGGGTTTTTTCTATCATATGAATACAAGAACATTCACTAGCTACAACAAACCCTTCTCTCTTGTCCTTTACTTTATGGTTATTATATTACCTTCAGAACAATATATTTACTGGTCAATAGGATTTTAAGCATATAGTTCTTCTGGGAGTACTGATGGGCTGTGCCCATTACATGCCATGGGGGTGCCTCTACTCAGATAATTAATCCCTAATTAATCCCTGTAGTTAATTTGGGATGAAGTTCAAATAGGATGTAGTTCTTATGGGAGTAAACCGGGTGATCAGCCTCGCTGACTTCGTTGACACATGTCATCGTAACCCAACTGCGCAGATCGATGCTCATGATGTTGATCACTGGACTGTCTGGTCTGGACACGATTATTTACAGACCGCCGCCATTTAGCTGGAATATTGCTGGAAACAAAGAAACAAACAAACAAACAAACACTAACCCTTTGAAGTCACTGATTGCACACTGTTTAAACATGAAGGCAGAACTGGGTAAAAGAAGTATAACAGACAACAGTCCTCTGTTCAGAATACAATATCGCAATCCTGGGAACGCTGTTGGCAGTACGACATTTACAAACAGTAATTCTCCTTGAGTAGAGCGGTTTTGCCACACTGTTGAAACACATGTTGAGTTGTTGTTGGACTAACACTTAGTCCCTTAATATAATATATGTATTTTCATAGTAACAAATAAACCCATTTAAGTTAAAAAGGAGCCCCAGTGAGTTTGAAACCTGGGGAAATCTAGATTTGCTTCATTCAGGGCTTCAGCACTGCATGGAGGGCTTGACGGTAGGGAAAATAATGTGGTTCAGGGACTGTGACACAGACGAGTTTGCCTTTAATAACAGCGACCAACTATTCTTGAGTCGTCCCTTTCCGATATTAAGCACGAGTGGTCATTAACGGTCAATGTTGTTCATCCGGCCTTCATGATAATTGAGGAAACTGATTGTTCTGTCGGATCCCAGGTCGTAAAGTGATACCTACCTACTTATGTTTAACTCAGCTTGTCATTCTGACCCGGTGATAGACTTCCCGTCTTAAGGATATCACTCTTAGCTCACCTTGTTCATACACACAAATCGCTCCTTGGTCTGATTGTCTGCTATCCCAACGTATCGCGTGCACATTAATGCAGAAGTACCAGGTTCGATTCCCCTCATGGAGAGAGAGAGAGAGAGAGAGAGAGAGAGAGAGAGAGAGAGAGAGAGAGAGAGAGAGAGAGAGAGAGAGAGAGAGAGAGAGAGAGAGAGAGAGAGAGAGAGAGAGAGAGAGAGAGAGAGAGAGATCATGGATCACGGTGTCATGGTATCGTGTGTTTTGTGTGTGTGATCATGATATGCTCAAGGACAAATACGTCTATACCAGCCAATAATGGTGTCGAGCGGACAGAGTCAGGGGTGGATCCATGATATTTGGAGAATAGGGTTGCACATAAATCATTAAGTCCAAAGGTTAATGATCAGAGTGAGAGTGAGAGAGAGAGAGCGAGAAAGAGAGCGAGAGTGAGAGAGAGAGAGAGAAAGAGAGAGGTGCGCACTCCTGGATCCGCCCCTGCGAGTGGTCAGACTCGGAGACTTGCGTAAGTGTCTTCGCAGAGAACAACAGGGGCGTTTGCTTACAATATCAGTCACTGGCTTGTCTGTCTCGAATAGTTACATGTAGTTGTAAGTACACTGCTACTATTGCTACTACTATACTACTACTACTACTACTACTACTACTACTACTACTACTACTACTTGCAAATATCTTTCCCAGCATTAAAATACATTGAAAATCCGTGTTAATATGACAGTTGGTGCAAAGATCGCTTACTGGAAGTGGACCCAGATGCCAAACAAAAGTCAGGTCACAAGTATGACGAGCGAACGCTCTTTCGCCAGGCTATCCTACTGCAATGCAGAATGCAAGGTGAGCTAAACGTCTTAGTCCTCTCAAGCAATGCCCCAACGTCAGATGCAAATATGGCGACTCGCTGGAAGGCCGCAGTGTTGATGTTGTGTGCACTCTGTTGTGAAACGCTGCATGGAGTTGCAGCGGTTCGCAGGGATGGAACGATTCTAACCAAACTTTCTATCCTAGAAGAAGAAATCACTGAGATACGAAACCGCATTTATCGATCTGACCTAAAACGGAAGACGGATTTACAGATATTCCGCAATGATTTAATCGCCCACCTTGAAAGAGCTGTCCCGGATGTGATGTCAAGGGTTATTGAAGACATGGCAAAAGCCGGTACAATTCAAGGACTCATTGAAGGGACCGTCCACACAAAGGTAAAGTCTGTGCAACAACAACTACAACAACTGAAGACGCTGACTGTGAATTCCATCAAAACTAAACCACCTGTACCTACGAAAGTAAAGACGTTGGATTCCAACAAAGATTCTCGGACGTTCAGGAAAGCGTTTCAAACGATACGATAAGATTATCAAACAGCTTAAAGCTGATAAAGATAATCAGAAAGTGATGATAAACGAACTGCAGTCGACTCTCACGGAACAAAGGATGTTGCTGGAGATGCTGAGAATGGATGTGGAAACGTTGACCACAGCGAGCACGAAGAAGACGGGGTCTGAAACTGTGACGTCACACAACAGGCGTACCGCGGTTTCTCCCCATACGAAAAAAGGTTTGATTTAGTTTAACCATTAATTGAAAATGTCAGTAAGTATATTATATTTTAACGCCGCCTTCAGCAGTATTTCAGCGTGTATTTATAAAGCCAATACTATGATGGCAGACCTCCATGCTTGTCGTAAGAAGCGACTAACGGGATCTTGTGGTCAAGCTGTCTGACTAGGTTGACCCTTGTCATCGCATCCCCAATTGCGTAGATGGATGCTCATGATTTCGCTCACTTGATTGTCTGGTCCATACACGATTATTTACAGACCGCCGTCGTATTGCTGGAAAATTGCCGACTACGATGTTTAAAAAACGACAACAAAAAAAAAATATAATGCTGACCCACAAGAATCATAATCAGTGGATCATATGAACCAATGATGATGGAGCACCTGTTCGACCAAAGGACGCAACTCTGTGAAAATTATGGTAGTGCTAGTTCAAGGGCATTTCCCCCAATATAATGGAGATATTTATGTATTAGGTTATTGTACCTCAATTCGATAATTAAACTGTCGTCCTTGACCTGCGAAAGTTTGCTGGGAACAGTTCAGAGTTGTTAAATTGGGGAATACTTGCATTCATTCATTCATGAGTGAGTTTAGTTTTACGTCGCTTTTAGCAATATTCCAGCAATATCACCGCGGGGGCACACTTGCGCTCGGTCGTCACGCCGAAGACCCGTGTTCGATTCGCCACATGGGTACAATGTGTTAAGCCCATTTCTGGTGTCCCCCGCCGTAATATTGCTGGAATATTGCTAAAAGCGGCGTAAAGCCATACTCACTCACTCTGCCCCAAACTGGACAAGCCTCATCTTAGTGTATGTTATTTCCACCCAATTATACATACAACCATGCAGGAGCATTCGTTTGTTTGTTTTTCTCTCCGTATTATCAGGACGAGATGTTGTCCAGATTTAGCAAATGAGGTAAGCAATACACTGACTTACAGAGGTTGAATGAGAGAACGACTGTAATATTTCAGAAAGTGGGACATCCCCAATGGTCTTCATGGGGAAGAAGGGAAGTACCGCAGTCCTGCCGTGTTCTTTTACCAGCCAAACTGATTCATATGTGAGTATACCTCTTCAGAAAAAAGAGACACCAGAAATGGGCTTCACTCATTGTACCCATGTGGGGAATCGAACCCGGGTCTTTGGTTTGACGAGCTGTGTCAAGCCCATTTCTGGTGTTCCCCCGCCGTGCTGGAATATTTCTAAAAGCGGTGTTAAACTAAACTCACTCGTGTTTGGGCTCAGAACCTTTCAGTCACCACTCCTATTTCGCGGAGTTGAACTAGTTCTTAATTGTCAGATCCGAGCATGATATTCTGTATATTATTTATCGCCTTTCTTAACTTATAGAAGAACAGTTAGTTCGACATTTGACGACACAGTCTATTGTTGTGTTCATGAATATATATACTGAACCACAAAAGAAACGACCTTTCAACACCAAATGCAAAATTTTGTTCTTACAAGGTGGTGTTTTTATTATGATTGTACCGTTTTGTTAGCATATTTTTCAATCCAAATTGACAGTTATTACCAACATCAGTGTGTTTTCTGATGAAAAAGCATATCGACCAAACGCACCGAAAGAGGCAGACTTGGTAAAAGCTTTCGTATGATATTCGTGAAAATGAAAATGCATGTGCATGTCGTTACAACCTTACCAATCAAAGCGAGTCTCAAACTCGCCTGAAATCATTTTTGTTTTGACACAATCACCATGCCATAACCCACGAATTACGAGAAATCAGAGGAACCAAGTCTTTGAACGATTGTAAGTTGCCCAGACTGCACGGAGGGTAGCCAATCATTTTGATGTTCATGTTAGGACAATCTACCGACTGCAGGAGTAGTATCAGGTCACTAACAACGTCCAAGGCCGTCCACGCAGTGGACGACCTTCAGTAACATCACAACGTCAAGACCGAGAGACTGTGCGCAACCATCTGCAGGATCGCCTCCCCAGGGCGACTCACGACAGACCATCAGTGCCGATACAGTGCGTCGACGTTTGTGCGGAAGAAACCTCTGTGGTCACAGACCATATCGTAGTCTTGTCCTCACCGCTCATCACCGCCCAAACCGACTGCAATGGGCAACTAAGTATCGAAATTGGCGGTATCGACAATGGAGAACTGTGCTTTTATCTCATGAAAGCCGATATTGTGTTTCGACAGTCGATGGCAGAGTGAAAGTATGGTGAAGGCGTGGGGAACTGTTTTCCAATGAGTGCATTGTTGAAAGAGACTCGTGGGGTGGTCCATGCATCATAGTGTGGGGTGCAATCGGTCTGAACCAGTTAGTTGACACCGTGGTATTCCAGAATCTTGGTTCAGGATGAGGAAACGACGTGACAGCTGCTCGCTATATCGACCAAGTCATAAGACCCCACGTTGTACCATATTTTGGACGTTACAGAAATCACATCTTCCAGCAAGACAACGCTCGTGCCCACACTACCAAAGCAACATTGGACTTCATCAGGCAACATGGCATCCAAACCCAACAATAGCCTGCACTCAGTCCGGATTTAAGTCCAATAGAACACCTTTGGGACGAGATTCAACGAAGACTGAATTACCTCCAACCAATGCCGACTAACGGACTCAAGTGCCTATGGCCTTCATCGGGTGGTCAGAATGCCTTCAGCAACCAATGGCTTGGTTGACACATGTCATCGGTTCCCAATTGCGCAGGTCGATGCTCATGCTGTTGATCACTGGATTGTCTGGTCCAGACTCGATTATTTACAGACTGCCGCCATATAGCTGGAATATTGCTGAGTGCGGCGTAAAACTAAACTCACTCACCCACTCATCAACCGGGTAATTCCTTCCATGTACAGACGATGCAACGCTTTCATCGATGCCCATGGAGGCCACGAACAATACTGACTTTGGGGTTATCTTAATGGTACCATTTTTGGTGATCTTGTTTGTGAACTCTAAATGTGATTCTCGAAAATGTGTTAACCATAATTGTTAAGTTTGAACTCAGTCGTCCGTTTTGAATGTTAATTAGAGTGAATTAAAGTGTGTACTTTAAGAAACCGCTTTCTTTTGTGGTTCAGTATACTGTACTTATAAAGAATTATATAATAGTGCACATGTATAGGGTCATATGACTCGTATTATTCCGGGATAAGCATAGCACTTCCGGTGACAAACAACGTTTCATATTTTTGACCTTAGAATGTACGTCATGGTTGTCATACCTTTTCGAATGGCCTCATGGTTGTTAGCTGGAACCGACAATCCTTACAGGAATAAACAAATTCCGACCTAACCATCCCCAAATTTGCCAATTATTTACTGTCAGCAGCTGTGACAGCCAAACATGGTTGTACGCTTGATCTGGTCTCGTAAAGTCATATTCATATCCGGTCGCGCAATTTGGAACGCATCTTCCATCGTTACAGGGCAGGTTTAGCGGATATATGTTTCGAATACCAAACACTGGTAAACGTAGATCTGGCAGTCGTGCATCATGTCGGGAGGCACACGTAAAATCTCCAAATTATCCTCCTCATCATCATAATCAGCCGTGCAATTCGAATATCAGAATGCAAAGCGGAATTGTACGACTGTATTGCTATCGTAAGATTAAGTGGGTATCTAATTATAGCTTTTATGACGTGTTACCCGGCATTCTTTGGATATTGTTTCCCCCACAACTTTATGCGTTCTATGATTGCAGAAATTATTCCAAGAAATCTGTACGGAAGATGACAGAGGAATAATCATTTATTAGAAATATTACCATTCATGTTGGACATAGTTTATTCTTAATTATAATATCTGTTTTCTACAAATTCGGATGTTTCAATTTACAGAGAATATGGAGTCACAGAGCAAATACTCTTTTCACCTGGCACCGCCACAATGGAAAGACCGTTGCACGCACCGGAAACAGTCGCTTGTCCATTGACAGGAGCTACAGCAGTGAATGGAATCTGGAGATCCGGGACATCAGACTGAGTGATGGTGGGACGTACGACTGTCGCAACAGTGATGGCGATGGGGTTGCTGTTAGTCTTCTAGTACAATAGGGGCGGTGGGGTAGCCTAGTGGTTAAAGCGTTGGCTCGTCACGCCAAAGACCCGGGTTCGATTCCCCACATGGGCACAATGTGTGAAGCCCATTTCTGGTGTCCCCCGCCGTGATATTGCTGGAAAATTGCTAAAAGCGGCGTAAAACTAAACTCAGTCAGTCAGTCAGTCTAGTACAATAAATACTGAATGGCTGAAATATATCGACGGAACCTCTATAAGGGAGAAGAAACTGCGATTATTCTCTTATCGAATTGTGACTCCTTACGAGCACATCATGCAAACTTCCTTCCTTTTTCTATGAAACTTTAAAGTGTTGTGTTTCGTTCATTTATTGTGTTAGGGTAGGGTTCCACATGATTTGCGTTAAGTATTTGATTGTACATATATTTTCGGGTCAGTAAATTGTGAGTTATTACCACACCTTATGCTGTTCGGTTATTTTCATTCTCCATTGTAGATGATCAGTGAAGATCCGGGTTAGAATTGATCTTCAGCAACCCATATGTTTGTCGTAAGAGGCGACGAACGGGATCGGTGGTCAGGCTCCTTGATTTTGTTGACACGTCATCGTTTCACTATTGCGAAGATCGATTGTTAGGTCCAATCATTTACAGACCGACGCCATGTAGCTGGAAAATTGCTGAGTGCGGCGTTAAACAACAACCCAATCAACCAATCAGCCAACCAACCTTTGTAGATGAACAGCAGAGTCGGAGGAAATTATATTTTTAGTTGTGACTCTTTCGTGACATTTGTGTGATAATGTCTGAACATAACTCTCAAAATTATAGACATCGTCCAACTGCATGGCAACTGAACGGTACACTGACACAATCCAAGTCATGAAGCTGTAGGGTTACTGACGATGTCTGAACCTTACTCTCTCGTACATTGACAAAATCCAGACTATCGTTATGTAGCTGTACCATGTCTGAACCTAACTGTTTTACATGGACAGAATCCAGATCACCGTATATGTAGCTGTACCATGTCTAAACCTTACTGTTTTACATGGACAGAATCCAGATCATCGTAGGTAGCTGTACCATGTCTAAACCTAACTGTTTTACATGGACAGAATCCAGATCACCGTTATGAAGCTGCATAATGTCTAAACCTAACTGTTTTACATTGACATAATCCAGATCACCGTTATGAAGCTGCATAATGTCTAAACCTAACTGTTTTACATTGCCAGAATCCAGATCACCGTATGTAGCTGTATGGTGTCTAAACCTTACTGTTTTACATGGACAGAATCCAGATCATCGTAGGTAGCTGTACAATGTCTAAACCTAACTGTTTTACATTGACAGAATCCAGATCACCGTTATGAAGCTGCATAATGTCTAAACCTAACTGTTTTACATGGACAGAATCCAGATCACCGTTATGTAGCTGTACCATGTCTGAACCTAACTGTTTTACATGGACAGAATCCAGACTATCGTTATGTAGCTGTACAATGTCTGAACCTAACTGTTTTACATGGACAGAATCCAGATCACCGTATGTAGCTGTACCATGTCTAAACCTAACTGTTTTACATGGACAGAATCCAGATCACCGTTATGTAGCTGTACCATGTCTAAACCTAACTGTTTTACATTGACAGAATCCAGATCACCGTTATGTAGCTGTACCATGTCTGAACCTAACTGTTTTACATGGACAGAATCCAGATCACCGTTATGTAGCTGTACCATGTCTGAACCTAACTGTTTTACATGGACAGAATCCAGATCACCGTATGTAGCTGTACCATGTCTGAACCTAACTGTTTTACATGGACAGAATCCAGATCACCGTAGCTATGTACCCTAACTGCTGTATAATGTCCATGTCTGAACCTAACTGTTTTACATTGACAGAATCCAGATCACCGTTATGTAGCTGTACCATGTCTAAACCTAACTGTTTTACATTGACAGAATCCAGATCACCATATGTAGCTGTACCATGTCTAAACCTAACTGTTTTACATTGGCAGAATCCAGATCATCGTAGGTAGCTGTACCATGTCTAAACCTAACTGTATTACATTGACATAATCCAGATCACCGTTATGTAGCTGTATGATGTCTAAACCTAACTGTTAAACATTGACAGAATCCAGATCACCGTTTTGAAGCTGTACCATGTCTAAACCAAACCCTATCATACACTGGCACAATCCAGATCACCGTTATGTAGCTGCATGGTGTCTAAACCTAACTGTTTTACATTGGCAGAATCCAGATCACCGTTATGTAGCTGTATGATGACTAAACCTAACTGTTAAACATTGACAGAATCCAGATCACCGTTTTGAAGCTGTACCATGTCTAAACCAAACCCTATCATACACTGGCACAATCCAGATCACCGTTATGTAGCTGCATGGTGTCTAAACCTAACTATTTTACATTGACAGAATCCAGACTATCGTTATGTAGCTGTACCATGTCTAAACCTAACTGTTTTACATTGACAGAATCCAGATCACCGTTATGTAGCTGCATGGTGTCTAAACCTAACTATTTTACATTGACAGAATCCAGATCACCGTTATGTAGCTGTATGGTGTCTAAACCTAACTGTTTTACATTGACATAATCCAGATCACCGTTATGTAGCTGTATGGTGTCTAAACCAAACTGTTTTACATTGACAGAATCCAGATCGCCGTATGTAGCTGTATGGTGTCTAAACCTAACTGTTTTACATTGACATAATCCAGATCACCGTTATAAAGCTGTACCATGTCTAAACCTAACTGTTTTACATTGACATAATCCAGATCACCGTTATGAAGCTGCATAATGTCTGCAAACCTAACTGTTTTACATTGACATAATCCAGATCACCGTTATGTAGCTGAATGATGTCTGCACCAAACTGTTTTACATTGACAGAATCCAGATCACCGTATGTAGCTGTATGGTGTCTAAACCTAACTGTTTTACATTGACATAATCCAGATCACCGTTATGTAGCTGTATGGTGTCTAAACCTAACTGTTTTACATTGACAGAATCCAGATCACCGTTATGTAGCTGTACCATGTCTAAACCTAACTGTTTTACATTGACAGAATCCAGATCACCGTTATGTAGCTGTACCATGTCTAAACCTAACTGTTTTACATTGACAGAATCCAGATCACCGTTATGTAGCTGTACGATGTCTAAACCTAACTGTTTTACATTGACATAATCCAGATCACCGTTATGTAGCTGAATGATGTCTGCACCAAACTGTTTTACATTGACAGAATCCAGATCGCCGTATGTAGCTGTATGGTGTCTAAACCTAACTGTTTTACATTGACATAATCCAGATCACCGTTATGTAGCTGTACCATGTCTAAACCTAACTGTATTACATTGGCAGAATCCAGATCACCGTTATGTAGCTGTATGGTGTCTAAACCTAACTGTTTTACATTGACATAATCCAGATCACCGTATGTAGCTGTACCATGTCTAAACCTTACTGTTTTACATGGACAGAATCCAGATCATCGTAGGTAGCTGTACCATGTCTAAACCTAACTGTTTTACATTGACAGAATCCAGATCACCGTTATGTAGCTGTACCATGTCTATGTCATGCATTGAATCCAGATCACTGTTTTACATGTGGTTTACATTGACAGAATCCAGATCATCGTATGTAGCTGTATGGTGTCTAAACCTAACTGTTTTACATTGACATAATCCAGATCACCGTTATGTAGCTGTATGGTGTCTAAACCTAACTGTTTTACATTGACAGAATCCAGATCACCGTTATGTAGCTGTATGGTGTCTAAACCTAACTGTTTTACATTGACATAATCCAGATCACCGTTATGTAGCTGTACCATGTCTAAACCTAACTGTTTTACATTGGCAGAATCCAGATCACCGTTATGTAGCTGTATGGTGTCTAAACCTAACTGTTTTACATTGACATAATCCAGATCACCGTATGTAGCTGTACCATGTCTAAACCTTACTGTTTTACATGGACAGAATCCAGATCATCGTTTTACATTGTAGCTGATCACCATGTCTAAAAACCTAACTGTTTTACAGAATCCAGATCATCGTGACTAAACCTAATCATTGACATAATCCAGATCACCGTTATGTAGCTGTATGGTGTCTAAACCTAACTGTTTTACATTGACAGAATCCAGATCACCGTTATGTAGCTGTATGGTGTCTAAACCTAACTGTTTTACATTGACAGAATCCAGATCACCGTTATGTAGCTGTATGGTGTCTAAACCTAACTGTTTTACATTGACAGAATCCAGATCACCGTTATGTAGCTGTATGGTGTCTAAACCTAACTGTTTTACATTGACATAATCCAGATCACCGTTATGTAGCTGTATGATGTCTGGACCAAACCGTAATCGTTACATTTTCAATTTAATCTCAGTTATATGGAAAAAGCAAACCAAAAGTTGAACTGAAATGTATATTTGCGAATCATTCCATCAGATGCGTCATGGTTACAATTTGAGACAGAACAATTTCAACAGGAACTATCTGTCGCCATTTTGACAATAGCGGTTAGGGATGGATTCGCCAGTCGGACTTCTGTGTTTCGAGCCAAGCGAGACTTCGAGATATCTGGCCAGAGGGCCAGACAGATCAGTTAACAGACTGGGTGCTATATACTCCCAGCAATACGATTGACTCGGCGGCAAGTACCGTAAGAATACAACAGGTGATTTAAATGGAAATGATCAATACAAATCGTGACAAGTCTGCACTTATTTCTTCTCAAGGACTCGAGATAACGCCATGCATATTTATCTTGAATTCGTTATGAGGAGAGAGAGAGATATTACCCGCTGCCACGGTAACCGCCAAGCTCTCCGCCGAGAAGCTGAAGCGCTAACAATGTTATGACGTCATAATATGACGCATGCCGTGCCCGGAGTTCGAAAACCGTTCGATCAGCTGTTTTTGTGTTCACTTTGTACAGATTTATTTTTCCGACTTTCACTGCTTTATTTAAGCTACAGTTTAAGAAACTGGCCTCTTCTACAAAATGAAACCAAACAGAACTCTTCACTTTAAATCTGAAAAATGTAGTGGGGGAAACAATCACTCTCCTTGATGCCATCCTGATGATTCATGCCGCTTGGAGACAGGTCACATCTAAGACGATCGCCAACTGCTATCGGAAGGGAGGCTCGCCCTTCCTGAGCGAGATGAAGATTCGTCAGACGATGATACAGACAACATGGTTCTTTCCGACCTCAGAGTTATGTGGAATGAACTGTCAGATAAAGCAGAAGAAATCCCGGCAGATGTCACGTTGGACGACTTCATCAATGCTGACAATCAAGTTGTTACAGCCGAACGCCCTACTGAAGACGAGATCGTGACGTCAGTAGCCCAGCAGTTTGCCACGCCCACTGTCACATCCGCTCCCAACTCTGATAGTGAAGATGATGAACCTCGCCCGAAGCCATCCTTTGCTGAGGCCAATGCAGCATTAGAGACACTACGTCATCTACTTGTTTGTGAAGGTACAGATAGTTCTACCTTCGACTCTCTTGCAGATGTCTGTGATGCAGTTGACAAAATGAAGTCTGCAAGACGTGGTGTGCAGAGCAAAATTGTGGACTTTGTTAAACGTAATTAAGTTATATACATGTATTGTTGAGATTGTTGTGATTGTTAAACATGTTCTAGCTAATGTCTGTGAATGATAAATTCAGAATTTCAATGTTATGTCAATGTACATGTACAAGAATACAGATTTGTAGCCTCAGCATATACATGTCTCTACATCTCTACAATCCAAGATGGCGGTCATGGCGAACAACGGATCAACTAAATTTCTTGTCCCTTGAGTTCGTTATATCCGTGTCCTACAACGGATATACTCAACTTAAACATAATTAACTTTTATACCAGTGTTAAGCTTGGTCCACTTTTAAAAATTCAGTCGAGTTGCAGACGCCATTTTGTTTACATGTCAAATAGTCGGTAGCGATCTACCGGCTCGGGTGACACTGCTACAAAGAGGTGTACATCAGACCGAATTACCCTCGAGAGAAGCATACAACTTATAGTGAGCGCGTGCGTGCGTGCGTGTATGGGTGTCCATCATGATATGTTTCAAAAGACGGGGCTGTCTAGAACATCGTCATGCTGAAGACCCATGTTCGATTCTCTACATGGGTAAAAAGTGTGATGCCCATTTCTGGTGTCTCCCACCGTGAAGTGACTGGAATATTGCAAAAGGTGGCATAAAACCATATTCATTCACTCGGTTCTTTGTGTCTAATTCAAGGTGTCTTGATCTCAACAGTGAAATCATTTTAAGGTATGCGTTTATCCATACCGAATGTTCCTTTGCAGATAGTAGCACTCGTCATGTCAGAGGAAATGGATATCCTGTAAGCGCGGTTTTTGAAATTCAAGTGACGATATGAAGTGAGTGAGTGAGTGAGTGAGTTGGGTTTTACGCCGCTTTTAGCAATATTCCTGCAATATCACGGCTGGGCACACCAGAAATAGGCTTCACACATTGTGCCCATGTGGGGAATCGAACCCGGGTCTTCGGCGTGACGAGCGAACGCTTTAACCACTAGGCTACCTCACCGCCCCTGACGATATGAAGAAGCAGACCGGTAATCTCATGAGTGGACGTTTTAATGTCAGAAAATGACACCTTAAGGACTTAACGGCGAAGTTATATCTGATGATCATGAATACACTCCAGAGTTAATTGGGGCAAGCGATGCCGAGGACGTGTTTTGTTTTAACATTCCACGTTCAACTTGAGACAAAGAGATAAATGAATATTGGAAGAATTTGTTTGGCATCCATTGTGTCGATGGGGGTCTATTCAGTGATGCAGAAAGTGTATTCCCATGATTAACAAACGAAGACGCTAATCTCAACGTTCAGTGTTCTAGCTATATACTCAGTCGTATTGACGAGTTAAACACGAATGGAATATGAGCACTTCAACAACCTGTGCACAGCGGGGCAATAGGTAATCGTAGCGCCACCGACATAATTTAAATACTACCTCCAGACACAAAAGTCAGAATCTGTTTCAATTAATGCTTCCATAACAAGTATATGGATGATGCATCAATAGGTACTAATGAACTTTGTCATCTGTATCATAATATCATCATAAAACAATGGTAAGCGTAACAGAAAACTCATCATGGTTTCCAAATTTGGTGCATCTCTGACCATACTCATGCCCGATGCAATTCCTTATTTTGACTGGTACCATACGTTCGCGAATTATTTCAGGAGAATAATTGACTAGACTTAGCATATATTTATGACGGGTTCCACCGGTGCGGCAGGATACGCTGATCTTTTCGCGAACACCTGGTATCATCACTATTTCATAGTGATTCATAAACACATGCTCTGTCATCATGACGATCACTGGCTTGTTTGGTCCAGACTCGATTGCGTTACAAACAACATCGTACAGTTGTAATACTACTGAAACAAATATTTGTTTATGATACAGTCCGGACTGTACAATCGACTAAACATTTAGCAGAGATTTCTTATATGTGGAAAGAGTTTTGTCGCTCCTGTTATTAAAGATTGAGAATTTTTGAAGAGTGTGAAATACGAGGTTTGAGATTATTTTAAAATCACTGTTAAACATCAATATTTAACACATTGCTGGCAACAGGTTCGTGAAGAGCAACGTTGAGCGCGGAGAGGTCTTGGATGGGTGACCGTGTTTGGCAGCTTGACTCCAGAGAGTTTCTCGGACTTCAGTCCTGCTCCTCAACGAAGCACGTGTGATACATGTGGTCTCACCATATTCAAGTGATTTTGTTCAAGATTGCCTCCGATAATCCAGCAGAAAATGGGTACCCGGTGGGATGAGTCACGTGACTATTGACCTTCTAGCGCCTCACAGGCAACTTGGGTTATCCAGGGTAATAATAATCTGAATGTGATTTCAGCGCTGTTGAGCACCGTATGGTAGAAACCTGGCGCTATACACATTCATTGTTATAAAATCAATTATTATGAAGAGTGTCAGGAAAACTACTTAATGAAACTGTAACTAGTAATGTTGTAGCACATGGTTCTTAAAGATTTTCTGGTCCCATGTCAGATATTTTAGTCGCGAGTCAACTGTTATGAACGCAGCAGTTACCCTTCTGTTGATCATGCGGATTGGAGAGACTATTTTAAGATTGTACTGAATCTACTAGAGAGAACTGAGAAGGAAGACTCTGTTGGCATCACAAAGGACTGAGTGGCAAAGTATTTACCAAATTATCGTTTAAAATAGTTTACGTGGTTTCATTTCTCCTTGTCCAGGTGGTTTCTGCAAAGGGCAATTAACCTTTCTAGAAAATTGTTATACAAACGTAAATGGATACTTCCAAATCTATACGTCGCTTTCCTTATTTGTTTGTAATGCCCGTTAGGTGAGTGAGTGAGTGTTTGCTTTTTACGCCGCTTTTAGCAATATTCCAGCAATATCACGTCGGGGAACACCAGATATGGACTTCACACATTGTACCCATGTGGGGATTCGAACCCGGGTCTTCTGCGTGAGGAGCGAACTCTTTAACGACTAGGCTACCCCACTGCCGATTTTCGTACGGCCTCCGAATCAGTTCAATTAGGTGTGTCATACACAAATTCCCAAATACATGTACAATCAAAATGAAATGTAGAAAGATGTCATCTTGATCAATTGAGGTGGAAATAGGTTGGCATTAAACCTTTGTCATCATCGTCATTTAAGATGTTATTGGCATATAATTCTTGTTTTGGCATGCCCAAAATATAATAAAAACAGAAACACCAAAACATTTCACCCGAGGGATAATGTTTGCAAAACTGTATTAACATAACATCGAAAATACAGTAACAAAGTGTTACAATTGCCCCCGATGGTTGTAGGCATGTTTCATGCTACGTCACATGTTAACCACTTTAGGCTTCTCAAATATTTCTACTTCAAAAGATGTCGTAATACCTCAATTTTGCACATGAAAAGTTTATCTCATACCCAACAACATTTACTGCATTAAGAACGTTTTATGACGTTTTGTGAAAAATTTACTTTCCTATATGAAAAACGATTTTCTTCAACTGTATCCCTCCATGTACGAGCAGCTGAAAAACGCCCGGATGTGTACTGCAGGAAAACAAAGGGAAGTAACTCTGCTCACCTACACTATGCTTGAGCGAAAACTTTTAGAGTAATCACCCTTGTTACAATTGCCCCGTGTTACAATTGACCCCGGTCTCCCCTAGTCTTGCAATGATGGAAATAGCCAAACGTTTGGTGTCTGAAAACATGTAATTTCGGATAGAAACACAGAACCTCATTTAAATTGAATAGATCCCCCGTGTACTAAAGGACGCTCTTTATCGATTGTTTAAAGGTCGAGTACGTGCAGCGACACCAATCGGAGGGCCCGAGAACCAATGTAGTATCCCTTCCAAAAACGACACGTTTCCAAATGACGACTTAACACATATTGGGCTCGCATGAACACTAAATATATAGGCCTTTTTAATAAAAATCGGGTTTTAGAAGTTTTCAGAACTTTTGTTACACATCATGTTGGAGATAAAACCTGTTACTCAGGAAGAACAGAAAAATTGCTCTTTTCACACTTATTAACCAATATGCTTAATATGTATTTGGTCATGCGTGTAGTACTAACCTACCTGTATAATAAAGACTTGTTGTCAGCCATTTGAACCTGTACAATAATTTCAACAACAAATTCCGCAACTATATATACACAAAAAACTTAATTTAGCACACCCTGTCTTATTGTAGTGATAGGTTTTCAACACGTTCATAAAATTTCTCGTGGTGACCACGATGGAACAACATGAGTTGACCCGTATGATCCGTTGACTCATTAAACACGACAAAATAACTGGAATAGAGGTCAGTACCGAGTGTAACCTCCATGTGACTGTATGGCAGCCAGCACTCTCCTCCTCATACCCCCTGTCAGCCTCCTGATCCCCTGAAGGGCTAGTCTACGCTAGCAGCTTCCAATTGGGCCAGGCGATGCTTAACTAAGTTCTTTGCGTATAGTTTGACATTACAAGAGGGTTAAAACAGTACCCTTAACCCACCGTTACACGATTAACTGCATAACGTCCGTATCTTTATAATTTCCTATCAGTTTTCAAACTCTTTGACATATCTACAAGTTCGCTGGCAGTATTTACGGGCAAATAGCCCAGCAATTGGTACACTTCTTTACAGTTACCGTCTATGATACGAGCCCTATTGAAATCAAGCTCTTTTCGCCATTGCAGAGTCATAATGGTTGAATTTGACTTCTGGGTGCATGTTGTACAGTGTTTGTCTTCTGAGCTGTTCGTCCTCGACTGGAGAAATCGTTCCGTCTCACTTGTAAATGTCAGACCCACAAATGAAAACAAATCCTTCACGTTTTGTACAGGGTGGACTACTAGATCCTCATACAGGAGAAGTTTTGTTCTGTTAGGGTGAGATTTCAACAGCCTCTCTGTAGCCTGGAGGTCGCTATGTACCCTCAAACAGTGCTCTTTGGAGTAGGAATGAAGGTTGCTCCATTTATCTCGTCCTAATGATATCTGAGACTTGATTGTTGGCCGTGGGTCTCTTATCAAGTGTATGACTTTCAAGGATGGGTTTGATTTCATCATCGTCTCTACCGCTCCCATGGGGAACCGTATCGTTTTGATAACCGATACGTCCGACTCCATGCATTTCTTTTGAAGAATCGGTAAGCAGCCTAAGATTTTCAACACTCCAGGATTTGTCTTTAAACACATTTGGTAAGGTTTTGTATCATTACTGCTTCCTAAATGATGCTGACTAAGTGTTGCAACGTCTATTTTAGTTGGATGACACCTCAAAAACCCGTCGGCAATGTCCTTGGCTGCTCTAGCAAAATCTTCTGAACTTTTTATCATCCTGGAATAAAATGATATACAGATGAAATATCATTATATACCAATGTATACTTGTTTTAATTTTCTTTGTTTATCGTTGTATGCAGGGGTTAAGCTATAAGACCGCAGCATGTAAATAATCGGCACCTCATATATATTGTGAGCAACGACTGAAGCTTTTCAGGGGTGATGACAGGCAACCTTCCTGTCACCAAGTCTGACAACGCGATCCTTTAAGCAACGGATTTGGGGACCAAATCTTTTACCCAATTACCACTTGAGGTTTTAGACTTGGCCTATATTCCAACTGAGGAGACCGCCTCCGTGATGTAGTGGTAAGAGCGTCCGCCCTGAGAGCGGAAGGTAGCGGGCTCGATCCCCGGCCACGTCCTACCAACAGACGTTAAAATATGGTACTTGTTAGTCCCTGCCTGGCTCTCGGCACAACAGGGACTCATCGGCTCAGAGTGTCTCTGAGTGGGGTATTTATGCTTAACTGCGGCATGGTATCTCAGTGAGCTAGCACTATATAACCAGCTTAAGTCTGGGCTAGTACAAGCAGCCACACATACACACGCATGCACGTCGTCATATGAGCGCAATTAACTCCATTTCACCTCACCTGCAACTGAGGACTGTCGTATACTAGGTTCGCTAAACCGAATTCGAGTTATCAACTCGTGAATCGCTGCAATATTGCTGATGTGGCTTTAGAAAAGAATCACATACTCACTGCTGTCATCTGCATACAAGTATGAACATGTAAGGATTCATGTCTACAAAACTGCCACATTCACTTGCGCCTTTTCAAAACACAATGGCGAAAGTACAAGAGACACCTTCAAGGGCCTGGTTCCAGTCGCTTTGAACGTTTATGGTGGACATTAAGAGCAATTTCATGACATGACACGTCGCTTGTCTGCATCACCATAACAGGAAATCAAACCCCAGAACTCACAACATTTCAAAATGGAAATGGTCCAAGAAGTGGAAGCTGCCGATACATCAGGTCTTGCTTACCCGTGTCGTGAACACCCGGTGCCGATACATCAGGTCCTGCTTACCCGTGTCGTGAACACCCGGTGCCGATACATCAGGTCTTGCTTACCCGTGTCGTGAACACCCGGTGCCGATACATCAGGTCCTGCTTACCCGTGTTGTGAACACCCGGTGTCAACACTCAATCTGATTTTCAGTGACTTTTTATCCAGATGTAATTTGTATCACTATTCTTGTTTGTTTGTTATTTAACGCCGCACTCAGCAATATTTCAGCAATATTGCGGCGGTAAATAAACGAATCTGGACCAAACAATCAAGTAATCAACAGCATGCGCATCGATGTACGTGGTTGGGATACGATGACATGTGTCAAAGCGAGCCTGTCTACCAGATCCCGTGAGTCGCCTCTTACGACAAGCATGGGTTACTGAAGCGGATGATAAATTAATATATAAATAATTAATATAATTGATAAATTCAGTCATGTTAGCAATTCATACCTTGAAGGTCTGTCAAAAAAGTTCATGCGTGTTTTTTGTGACCACCAGATCCATTTCAAAGTATGCATTGGTTCAAAAACGTAGAATACATCTGGGTGCTGTGAGAACATTTCCCCAGTGAGAGTCGAGCCGCTCCGCATGTACGTCAGTATGATAACGTTGGTACGGGGAAGCTGGTGATTCTTGGTTTGCAGCTCCTCAAATAAGTCAACACAAGATGCGGAGGGAGTTTCTAAAATTGTAAAAACGTTTGGTTTTTCAGTCAGGTTTTGGCCAAGCAAAAACAGGAGAATATTAAAAAAAAAAAAAAAAAAATAATCAAAACATATGTCTTACTTTTATGCACAGAATATTTTTCTATTCATGAATCCTTTCCTGACTACAATTCAGTTTGTTTGTTGTTTACGGCACACTTAGCAGTATTCCAGCTGCATGGCGGTAGTCTGTAAATAATTGGGTGTCGACTAGAAAATCCGTTGATCAACATCATGAGCATCGATCTACGCAATTGGGTTACAATAACATGTGACCCAGGCGCACCTGATCCCGTTAGTCGCCTCTTACGACAAGCATGAGTTGTTGAAGACCAATTCTAACCTCTTCAGTGGTGAAATACAATTGTAAAATATTATAAAATGATTATTATAAGCTTTTCACCAATTTTGAAATCTGCCTTGGCATAAAACCAAGACCGATAATTCCCTGGAGTAAATTGTTTGTATTTATGAATTCTGTTTTAACCTGTTGGAGTCGTTGCTATTTGTGGGCACTTATTAAACCGAACATTTTCAGATTATCATTACGAATTTGAAACTGGAGTTTGGCATATATATATTAACATTAACGGTTGCAGTCAAGCCTTACCTGTGCTGACATGACTGTGTGGTGTTTGACCTGTTTCCTTTGCCTCTTGTTTTCCATGTGGGAATTCTGTTATGTGTGTTCCAGCTGAAAATAAAGTGCATATTGATAATATAAGTGACGCAATCTACTTTCCGATGAAGTGCTGGCTGTTGTATACGATGAATATGATGATCACCTTACCTGCTTGACGATTTAACCCCAAGTCTGAGACATGATGCATCTCATCGGAGGAGTCGCGACTGAAAACCGTCCTATCTGCAATAACAACATAGATATTTCCTCTTAGACATGTTGAGGAAATTCATCATAAACTGTTTCAAATACCGGTATGACACGACAAACTATTACGCCAATCCAAAGAAATCGCAATTATCCTTTACGTAAAACGTAAAAGGCGACGAAGGGCATCGGGTGATGAGGCTAGCTGACTTGTATGCGTGTAGGTCGGTGGAAGCCATGTACATGGATCAATGCCAATGATTTCAGTTAGTCACTGGATTATCTGGTCCAGATTCGATTATCGTGTGTGGTTGTTTAGTTGTTTAACGTCGCACTCTGCAATATTCCAGCTACATGGCGGCGATCTGTAAATAATCGAGTCTGGAACAGACAATCCAGTAATCAACATTGTGAGCATCGATCTACGCTGGAAACTAAACACATTCACTCTGGCTAAGGGATGATGACACCAAGGAGTAATACATGGCTACCAATTGCTAACAGGACCCGATAGGTCTGAATCAAAACGACACAAAAGATGAATCTGTACCGTTTCCGTTGAGCAGCCCTCGCGTAATGGTCTCACTGAATGGTCTCAGCACCCTCATGGGAGCGAAATTAGTTATCTTACTCACCCAATCACTTAAGCCTCCAGTCTGACTGACTTTGTTTGCTGGCGATTAAATGCCTTACATTTTGTGATAGAGTGGATATTGGAGATGAATTCCAACATAATGTGAACCACTCGACCCTTTCCGTAAGTAGTATACAGAATGGGGATTCTGTTACAGGCCAACTAAGAGCGCCATTATATGCCAATTCCGCTTCCAGACCCCAGTATAAATTAATGATTTCGAGCAGAGACATCATTCGATGTACAGCCCAGACATGCGCAACAGAAACTCCCCCAAGGGGGTTTGTGGTTCTGTTACAGGCCAACTAAGAGCGTCATTATATGCCAATTAACGATTTCATCGCTCAATGTACAGCCACCCAGCCTCAGAAACGAGCAGAGACATCATTCGATGTACAGCCCAGACCTGCACCTCAACGATTTCGAGAGACATCATTCGATGTACAGCCCAGACCCCCGACATGCACCTCAACGATTTCCAGCAGAGACATCATTCGATGTACAGCCCAGACCCCCGACATGCACCTCAACGATTTCCAGCAGAGACATCATTCGATGTACAGCCCAGACCCCCGACATGCACCTCAACGGTTTCCAGCAGAGACATCATTCGATGTACAGCCCAGACCCCCGACATGCACCTCAACGATTTCGAGCAGAGACATCATTCGATGTACAGCCCAGACCCCCGACATGCACCTCAACGATTTCGAGCAGAGACATCATTCGATGTATAGCCCAGACATGCACCTTAGAAACTCCACCAAGTGTGGGTTCTGTTAAAGGCCAACTAAGAGCGTCATTATATGCCAAGTAAAAATTAACGATTTCGTCACTCAATGTACAGCCACCTGGTGGGCCTCAGAAACTCCCACCCAGTGGTTTGATGCGGCCGGCGGCGATCCACCGTTTGGTATCCATGGGCGACAGCGACTTCTTGTTGAGGGTGATGCCGTAGATGTTGTGTTTGTCGCTTCTCAACACATTCATTCGGTGTTTGAATGTCTTATTCTTGAACAGAGCTTGTTTGAAGAGGGCGTGCTTGATGTGTTGTTTCACCACGTATTTCTTGACCCCTTTTGCCTTTCAGATCTCACCCTTGTCAGCTTTCAGGATGGAGTACATCTTAGGCCTCAAGCTGACGTATTCGGTGATGGGTGTGCCCGCCCATTCGTCCTTCATCTTGCTGAGGACCTTTTTATTGGTCGTGCTGTGTAGGGCATGGTCCTGGGATAATTGCTGGTGTCGTACAGGTGCATGTGTTTTGCCATGTCCTCGTACACGTCCTCAGTGCGTATATCCAGCAACAAGGAATCCGTGTCCGTGTACAGCAGCCCGCATCGATCACCGTATTGCTTCTTGAGCCGGTTGTAGTAGAAATCACACATGAGATGTTTGGATAAGTCGAGGATGCTCATCCCCACGTAGACGGGCCGGTTGAGCTTGATGTGACTTTTGTTCATGTGCAGCCCCGCCAAGTCGTTATCGAATAGCTTGCTTCGGTTGAAGGCTGGGCTAGCGATCAGTTTCCTGAGTTTTTCCTCCTGGTGTGATCGCACGAGTTTGCCTGTGACCCGTTTTCTCAGGTTCTCCATCGTCTTACCGAACACCGAGTTGTTCATGAGCTTATACAAGTTCTTCTCAAAGTCACTGGTGGCCAGCTTTCGCAGGTCCGTGTTCATTCTGATGTAGGGCTCCATCCAAGGACTTTGGTCAAACTTAAGCACCCTATGAATTTTGGCCAGCTTCATACCCAACGATAGGTACAGCTGCAGGTTGCGATAGTGCACGACGTACTTGGTCTTGTTCATCAAGTTCGGGACGAGTTCTTCCACCCGAGCCAGTGTGTTCTCACCCAACAAGTCCCGCTGATAGTTGGACATCCAGTCTCGGCAGACCATCAACCATTCTGGGGCCAGCGGGTAGCTGTTGTGGGTAGCATGTAATGCCTCGGGATACTCCAGATCCACTTCGAGGATGTAACCCTTCCCCAAATCCGGCGTGATGCTCGTGATATCGATCTCATCATCCAACCACTCAAACCCACCTGTAGGTAGAGACTGACTCATAGCCCAGCTGTACAGGTTGTTGGCATCGAGATAAAGGAGATGATTGGTGGGCTTGCTAGAGTCGTAGCCTTGCACGTACTTATTGTGGGCGGCCATGGAGATCCCTCCTTGCAATCCTTTTTCAATGAACAGGTGCATGTCGTAATCCGTGAGCAATTCGGGCTTAACTCCGGTTTTCTTCAAGAGCGCATCCCACGATAAACCGGGGCTGGTGTAGTACCATGCAGGGTCGAGTTGATACTGTTTCAAACACGTCCTCCTAAACGTCTCGAACACGTCGGCTAGCAAGAGCACGTCCGTTCTCAAGTACAGGTCGTGGTAGTCACCCAGATTCTTACAGCCTAGTTTCTCCAACACGTTCTGCGCGTGGTCGTAATCGTCTTGGGAGATATGGGATTCGGTCAGGTTGCTGTAAAATCGACCGATGGGAGGTAAGAGGGTCTCGTCGAACTTAGACCAATCATCCATGTACTCGTATGGGTACACACCCTTCCTCATCAGCAGGGGCTGAGTCTCGGCGTCGGTGTATCGATCAGTGATGGGGAAGGTGTCGTTGGCTTTGACCAAACTATCGAGCGACGACAGGAGGAACTGAGCGCTGTCAATGAATCTCAGACCGTTGAGCGAGAACGAGATGTATTTTTCCATGTTGTTGGGGATGCACTTGATATCACCACCGACCTTCAAGATGGCTTGCATGATAAGGTGGGCATCGTACCCTCTCAGATTGTGGAAGACCACAATATGTTGATTGTTTTAGGGTTGATTCTCAGCTGGAGGTTGCATGCGTTATGGGCGGCAACTCGGTATCGACCGTCGATGTGGCAGTGATCTCTCACGACATCCCCGTTCAGCGGTCCCTGGCATATATGGCAATTCTCAGCACGTTTGTGACCGACTTTGTCCTTCGGTGTCATGCGCATGGGGGCGGCGGTGTACAGCCTTTTCCTAATGATTTTCTCTTCCTGTTGCAAACACATTATGAATCGTTCGGCCGTGCTAGGGCCTCGGTAGATGACTGGAGCGTTAATTTGTCCATCGCATCGGACGACCACGTACCCGAACCTGCAGGCTTGGTGTTCTTGGGTCTTGCACGTAAAACTTTGCTCAGTGTCGGGCACGTCGTGGTCGACCTGTTTGATGAGGGCTTCGAAGTCCGTGTAGATCATGTAAGGCACAGGCATCTGATGTTTGTGGTTGGTGAATTTCAAGATGTTGTCGCCTTCCTTAGGCATGTCGATTCGGATTGCCGTCTCTCCCACACCTAGGCAATCCCCCCGGTGCGCTTGCAGCAGGTCAGCTCGCGTGAAGCCTTGCAGACATCGTTCTGAGAAGTGTTTCTTTTCTCTATGCATCGATTGATCGTGCAACAACCAGCTCAGTTTTTTATCGCCGTGTAGTTATACTGTCTTTTCGATGAGGAATATATTGGTTCTACGCATGGTTTTATCACACACAGGGCTTATCCTATGCACGATGGTTTTGTCGCCTTCGCGACCAAACGCGTTGACGGCCATCTTGTTTTGCTTTTCGAATTGCGCCCAGTAGGAGATGGGTGTTAAGTGTTCTACACCCGTGAAGTCAAACCCGGATTCTTCGATCAGTGGATAGCTGGAACACCTGCACGGATTACCCGTTGGTTCGTGCGTAGCAGCTTTGACCGCCACCACTGCACAGTAATCGTTAACATCGTCGCCTTTGGTTTCGGGGTTAACGAGTGCCTTTTTGGTATGTGCAACCCACCTCTGAGCGGCATGTCGAGATAAACAGTGTTGATTTTGTCTACCACCCATCCAGAGCCACTGTGGGTATATCTCTCCAACGACTCTTGTATTTTCTGCAATGACGCGTCGATGGAGGATTCAATCAATTCTGGTTGAGTTAGTACTTCCTGTTTGCCTCTGAAATAAGGAACGATGGACTCGGTACTGCCATCCGTCTGCTGTTTTTGGAGCTCCATTTTCATCGTCAGTTGGTACTTGATGCTTTTCAAGTCGCCTAGTTCTTCGCGATAGTTTACTGGCGATATAGGGTTTGACTGTATCAGTATCGATATTGGAATCAACCGTCATTTTCCAGCCCCGGAGATACTTACCCACCGTCTGCACGAATCTCAACTCGACTGGCCTGGTGTCTTCCAGCAAGATGATCAGCTCGGCTCTTCTCATGTGGGAATAACCCCTCAATCCCCGTTCTTTAGCTCGGAGTTTGAGGTCTCGCACGGTAGGGGGTTTGGTATATTTCATATCGAGCAAGGTGAGCAGTTGGAGTTTCCTCATGCGGGAATAACCCCTCAGTCCACGACTTTTAGCGAGAGCATTGAGTTTGCCGACATTGAGTGACGAAATCGTTAATTTTTACTTGGCATATAATGACGCTCTTAGTTGGCCTGTAACAGAACCCACACTTGGTGGAGTTTCTAAGGTGCATGTCTGGGCTGTACATCGAATGATGTCTCTGCTGGAAATCGTTGAGGTGCATGTCGGGGGTCTGGGCTGTACATCGAATGATGTGTCTCCTCGAAATCGTTGAGGTGCAGGTCTGGGCTGTACATCGAATGATGTCTCCTGAAATCGTTGAGGTGCAGGTCTGGGCTGTACATCGAATGATGTCTCAGGTGGCTGTATATTGAGCGATGAAATCGTTAATTGGCATATAATGACGCTCTAAGTTGGCCTGTAACAGAACCACAAACCCCCTTGGTGGAGTTTCTAAGGCGCATGTCTGGGCTGTACATCGAATGATGTCTCTGCTCGAAATCGTTAATTTATACTGGGGTCTGGAAGCGGAATTGGCATATAATGGCGCTCTTAGTTGGCCTGTAACAGAATCCCCATTCTGTATAATACTCCGTAACCTCCAAGAAGATCCGGCTTGTCCCGGAGTAGGTCAGGAATGAATCAAACGAGGAGATAGAGTTATCGTTCTTGTTTAAAGTAGTTCTGATGTTCATGAATACGGCCATATGAAATCCTTCCAGAGGGGCACGAGTCGCCATTCGGCTTGTCCCGGAATAACACGAGTGGGTCAGGAATGAATGTGAACATCAAAACAAAAGTCATTCAATAATTACTCAGTTGAGAACCGTGAGCAAGTTACCTAGTTTATAAAGAAGCAACGTTGTCACCACGACTGCCATAATTCCACCAAATATCAGAAAGCCTTTGATCCTTGCCATGCTGAATCTCCTGAAATTCGAAACAAAGTACACAGTTAGCAAATAACTCTTGTCAATGTAACCTAAAGATGTATATGAATGACATACTTCTATTGTACTCTTCAAACAGTGAGTGAGTGAGTTTTACGCAGCTTTTAGCAATATTCCAGCAATATCACGGCGGGGAACACCAGAAATTGACTTTACACAATGTACCAATGTGGGGAATCGAACCCGGGTCTTCGGCGTGACAAGCAAACGCTTTAACCACTAGGCTACCCCACCGCCCCCTCTTTAAACAGAGTAGGTTATACTTGGAAATGACATTTTCAAAATTGTTAGATATATCAGTTTCTGGTTACACTTGAATGGAAATAATCAACAACTTGGGACCATCAGTGAAGTATGCAAACGATCTTGATGTATTGTAGTGTTTGTTCTCTAACAGTGCACACAACAATATTACAGTTATATAAAATACCGAGTCAGGACAAGACAGTCGAGTGACTGACATCGTGAGCATCGGTCGGAGCAATTAGGATACGATGACATGTGTTACCAAGTTCTCGGAGCCTCACTGTCGCCTCTAACGACATGCATGGTTTGATGAAGATCAATTCTAACCCGGACCTTCACGGGTGTAAAATTGTGAAACTGATGATTTTCCAGTCACCTTAATCTGAATTAATTGAAAACACTGATGACAATGCTATACAACTGATGTGTCTTTCTAGCGTGATGCTTATGAACTGAATTTGAAGACATGAATATTTGTTGCTTTAATTCTGTCAAGAAACTTAGACTAAGCGTGTTGAGTAGACACCTATTTCACATCAAACAAACCACTTGATAAAATTAATTATAAAGTGATAAAGACAACACATATTTAACTCACTGTGAAAAATGAGCAACACACCGCCTTGGCGGCACCCTAATTCACTGATGGTATGTATTGCATCTCAACTTACCTTTGTAAATATTGAGATACATGTACTTCTCTTGATGAACGTGTATGGTTTCAACCCCTGTAATAAATATATCTCTGAATATTGCTAATATGTAGAGTATTGATACGCTGGATGTGAGCTTCTTCGGTTTTAAGAAACCATTGCTTCTGAATACAAGGTGCTCTTACATTCAGATGCTGCAGCATTCCTGGACATTTTTGTTACTAATGCAGTTTTTCTCTCAGACAGTTGTGTAGGAATTTCTTAGACATTCATTTGCATGTGCCATTTGTTTGGTATTGTTTTAAGATACAGCAATTAGCGGTATGCTAAACTGTAAGAAGATATTGTGTTTGCCACCTGCCTTAATGCAGTTCTTGAAAGGCATGTAGAAGTTGGACGAACATGAATACATGAAACGTTTTAATAGATAACAACTTCTTGTTATATTCTTTGTACGACGTTTCAGGGCTAATTATTGCTCCTTCATCAGGTGCCTTAGTGCACTGTAAATTTGTCCTTAGTAGTTGTCATGCCCTAAACGAAAGAGCACTATATTTTTATCACGGGGAGGTCCCATTACGTGTAAAGTTTCTAGGTGGTTTTGCAGAACCAGCACTTATGTTTGGGTTTTTATTGCGCAAAAATCTTCGAAAACTGTTCATTTGTAACATTTAATTAGTACTTTGTTTAGACTTGCTGGGTTTTCTGAAAAATATTTCATTTCTGTATATGTGTTATACACACATTTCATTTGGAATTGATAGCTGGAGTCCTGTGGTAACCTTGGGCAGTGGGGTAACCTGCTGGTTAAGGCGTTCGCTCGTCACACAGGGTACAATTCCCCACGTGGTTACAATGTGTGGAGCCCATTTCTCGTGTACCCCTCCCTGATATTGCTGGAATATTGCTAAAATCAGCGTAAAACTAACCTCACTCAATCATAAGAGTTTTATCTAAGTTACAAGTGGGGAAGCAAATACACCAGATGCAGATTTGTCTTACAGATAAGATCTGTATTTGCATTAAAAGTAAGTTTTAAATCGAGAGTACGCAAAGGTATGTATATTATTAACTTCTACACCTACTCTCAGAATGTTTACAGAGCTCTTTGGTGATTTACTTTTCCTATAGTCAGTTACCATTTTTCTTGTTTTGGATACATTTAAAACATTCTCCGGCAACCATACAGTAAAGCTGGAAATTCTGCTTTAAACTTAATTTCTGAATCTCCGATAACGACGCCGAGAGCTGTATAGAAGCCGAGACCTATTATATGGCCGCTGATACAAGAGAAACATAATTGTGAAAGAGCTGTCAAAAGAGATCATCTCTATACCAGCAACTTTAAAAATGCCACTCAAACAAAGCTGTCAAAAGTACAACAAACATTGTTTTTACAGAAAATAAACTTAAAGGAGCCATCATTGTGGAGTTCCAGCAGATGTTGTTCCTTAGGATGAACATGTCCCATTTTCACAAACAATCCAAGGTTTGAAATCAATTCACCTATTCACCGTGGTTTGAAATGAGTGAGTTTGGTTTTACGCCGCTTTTAGCAATATTCCAGCAATATCACGGCGGGGGGACACCAGAAATGGGCTTCACGCATTTTATGCATGTGGAATTGTACTCGGGTCTTCGGCGTGACGAGCGAACGCCTTAACCACTAGGCTACCCCAGCGCCCATCGTGGTTTGAAAACAATTCACTCATTAAATGATGTTCGAGAACCTATTACTTCTATGTACTTCAATGACTGTAAAGAGCATTAATTCTGACGAAAACGAACAGTGATGTCATACGCGCACTGTCACAAGTACACCTGGTAAATCTTATTAGTAACAGACTTAGACATACGTGATTATGGAATGAGGTAGGTTTTTAACCATTCGTTATACACCGAGGTAGGGCTGGGACGATACACTATGTCGCGATACGATACGTTATGTGATATTTTACCTGCGATACGATACGTATCACCATACATACACCTTGAAAGAATGGCACAGTATTAAGATTTAGAATGATATATTTCAAGGTATTTGTGTATAAAAATAACACTATTGTAATATACAAGAAAGAAACTCTATCATGCTTACCTATTTTTCTCTAAATAGTCCTTTAACATGTTTAAGATAAAAGTGTTTTAAAAAAGTTGTGTATCGTTTTGTATCGATACACCAGTCGACGATACGATAGCTGTATCAAACTTTAATGTATCGAGATGTATCGGTGCATCGGTGAATCGCCCCAACCCAACACCGAGGCGTAAACAAAATAAACATCCTCAAAATCAGTTTTATTTCGGGAGCCACCTGTCTGAGAAAATGTCAGTAAACTAAAGTAGTGAAGGTATACTGACTGTCTGTCTATACAAGCTTGTGAGCTGAGGGAAATTTGGCGAAAAGAGCCCAACTAAATACATTCGTGTGAGAGTGAGTAGTTTTACGCCACAGTCAGCAATATTCCAGCTATATAGCGGCGGTCTCTAAATAATCGAGTCTGGACCAGACAATCCAATGATCGACAGCATGAGCATCGATCTACGCAATTGGGATACGATGACATGTGTCAGCCAAGTCAGCGAGCCAGACCATCCGATCCCGTTAGTTGCATCTTACGACAAGCATAGGTTGCTGAAAATCAATTCTAACCCGGATCTTCACGGGTCCATCAGTGTAAGACTGACTGACTGAGTTTCGTTTAACGCCGCTTTTAGCAATATTCCAGCAATATCACGGCGGGGGACACCAGAAATGGGCTTAACACATTGTACCCATGTGGGGAATCGAACCCGGTTCTTCGGCGTGACGAGCCAACGCTTTAACCCACTAGGCTACCCCACCGCCCCCATCAGTGTAAGAATACAGGTGTGGCATTAGTGATACAAATAAATAACTGCGACAAGTACCTTCCAAAATCATATGCGGATAGTTCGTTAATAATCAGCAGACATGTTTTATACCTTAGTTTTTAGTTTATATTACATGTACCTCCCTATCGCAGTTTTATGAAAATAAAGCCCCTAAATATGCCTTTGTATATTGGTACATTTGTTTATGAACTGTTATGAAATGGCGATGAGTGAGTTTAGTTTTACGCCGCACTCAGGCAATATTCCAGCTATATGGCGGCGGTCTTTAAATAATCGAGTCTGGACCAGAAAAGCCAGTGATCAACAGCATGAGCATCGATCTGCGCAATTGGGAACCGATGATATGTGTCATCCAAGCCAGCGATCCTGACCACCCGATCCCGTCAGTTGCCTCTTACGACAAGCATGGGTTACTGAAGGTTCATTCTAACCCGGATCTTCACGGTTGAAATGGCGATGATACCTGATGTACCCGAAAAATACTAGCATATCCTGCGCCACAGGTGGTACCCTTCACCTACCGGTACACTTGTCTCGTTTAGGTTTGGACAAGAATTTTAGTTTTCAAGGTGTCATATATATTTGTATACTGATACGATTCCATTCACTTCTCTACTAGTGAGTGACTGAGTTGGGTTTTACGCCGCTTTTAGCAATATTCCAGCAATATCACGGTGGGGACACCAGAAATGGACTTTCTCCATATACGTCCGCACACACTGCACCCATCAGGGGAATCGAACCCGGGTCTTCAGCGTGACGAGCGAACGCTTTAACCACGAGGCTACCCCACCGCCCCTTCTCCACTATAGTTTGGCATGAAATGCATGTGGACCCGGTTTTTTGTAAATATCTCTTCATCCAACGACCCAATCCATCTCAAACTGTGCAAGTAGATGTTTTGTCAGACAACCTAATCACATTGTAAATCACCGATTTTATGCATTTGTATTAAAGAATCTGTCTATGTAACTGTCAACAAAATAAACAGCAGAACGCAGATGGCTTGCAGAGGGAGGGAGCCAATGACCTGTAACAGCGGCAGTGGTGGGTCATAAAGGTAAATGCACGTGCAGTTCATGATAGTTACCTGTGCACTTCACAGTGATAGACCGTTTGGATCATTCAGATTGACTACTTATAGCTGTCATCATGAAAGCTTATTCAGATGATGCTAAACGGGTCCACATGCATTTCATGCCAAACTTATAATCAATATGTATCAATTAAATGTTTACCTTACCTTTCATGTACAATTCTCTGTGAATATTGTTGGCGAGATTCTCTACCCTTGAAATAGAATGTGTGTGAGAATGCCAAGTCAATATCATGTGACATACGTTTGTTTCTACAACAAATCGTTACATAAGCTTATTGAACAGAGCACCATTCAATGTGGCCCAGTATTGATTTCACACCTGACATAATAGTCCAGGAGGAGGCAGCTGAAAATTTTCAAATCGTAGCCTCCCCAGTACTGATTTTGTTTGACACTATTTTCAGTTAGTATGATGTCTTGGGCTCATGAAAAGGCCTGTAATACTCTCAGATTGTGGTATCAGGTTTTTTACAGGCCATTATATGTGGTGAGGGTCTGGGGGCATTTTCGTCACATTTGGTTTGCTGCCCGACAACACCCCAAAGTCAATCATTAATAGTTTTACTACTATCAATCTGATCACTTTCATTTTGACTTCTGTGTACTGCTAAAGGATGTAGAAATTATTTGACATAATTTTGTTTTGAAAAAAAATCAAAATGGCCGCCATTATGGCCGCCATTTTGTTTTGTCGTGTTTTGCCTTCTCAGCACTTAAATCTACATAAAAATGAACACCGAATGTTTCCATTTACATCCAAAGTTGATACTTTTGATGTGTTTTGACGCTTATTTCTCCTAGAGTGATGGCTTGGGCACAAAACAAGTCATTTTGTATGGTCATATCGTGGTAATTTAATGTTTTACAGCTTATTCTTTGAGACAGGGGTATTTTAGCGATTCTCCGACTTTTCATGGAAATGTGTGAGGGTGATTTATTTAATGGCAGATAACATTATTTTTGTTACTAAAACAAGTTGTTTTTGTTTTCTCTTTACTTCTAGAGTGACGGCATGTTATTAAGAATGTTTACATATTACCCAGAATTCAAAATGGCCGCCAAAATGCCCGCCATTGTAGTTTAACTACATATACTTAGTGGAGGACTAAATTTGTACTGATATGAAATCCAAACAAATCATTTGGTGTCTAATGTTTAATACAGTATAGGAATAGAGCTAAATTTCAATGAAAGGGTCAATCAAAGCTTCACATTTGATGACATAACATTATCCAAAAGTGTTAGTAGTATGGCAATTCCGTTCTTAGTATGGCAATCTCATTTTAAGTACGTTATTACTCCGTCCCATTTTGGGGAATTGACTTACAGAAGTCCTCTGAAAATCACCAACAAACATTGACACGATTGGGCGACAATTTGCATGTTAAAGAAACACTCATTACATCTTGTGGCCAGTTTGTGCGTTCTATGTTTGTACCAAATAATCCAGTGATGTCTGTAGATGACACAAGATATTGAATGAAAACCTCCCACCAACATCCAACAGTCTAAAACATCACATTGAACGAGTAAACTACCAAGTCCATGTTTGGAAACAGTCTCTGCAACCAATCATGAATATTCTTTCACCAGTTGACCATGGTTGGAGCATTTGTGATGGTCAGCTATTCTGATGTCGAGAGATCCTGCTCCCCGTGGATTGGTTGAACTGACATCGTGTTAATGCAAAAAGTCAGCATGCCAGCAGAAAGAATGATATAGTGTGCACAGAGGCATGTCTATTTGTATGGCAGATGATTGTTGCCCGAACACATTTGACTTGTTGCCAGTAGATGATTCCGATTCTGACATGAGTGAGTGAGTGAGTTTAGTTTTACACCACATTCAGCAATATTCCAGCTATATGGCGACAGTCTGTAAATAATCGTGTCTGGACCAGACAATCCAGGGATCAACAGCATGAACACCAATCTGTGCAATTGGGATACGATGACGTGTGTCAACCCAGTCAGCGAGCCTGACAACCCGATCCCGTTAGTCGCCTCTTACGACAAGCATGGGTTATTGAAGGTCCATTCTAACCCGGATCTTCACAGGTCCGATTGTGACATGAGGTAACATATGAAATGAAAGAAAGTGAAAAGGAGGGTTAATTGCAAGCTTATGGATGTATCAAAAGTGATTAAGAGTTATCTGATAGAACAATTTGAATACCTACAACCAAAGCTTAGACGTAGTTATCGGCCATGAAGCAAAGTTTTCAAACACTTTTGGATAATGTTATGTCATCGAATGTGAAGCTTTGATTGACCCTATCATTGAAATTTAGCTCTATTCCTATACTGTATTAAACATTAGACACCAAATGATTTGTTTGGATTTCATATCAGTACAAATTTAGTCCTCCACTAAGTATATGTAGTTAAACTACAATGGCGGGCATTTTGGCGGCCATTTTGAATTCTGGGTAATATGTAAACATTCTTAATAACATGCCGTCACTCTAGAAGTAAAGAGAAAACAAAAACAACTTGTTTTAGTAACAAAAATAATGTTAACTGCCATTAAATAAATCACCCTCACACATTTCCATGAAAAGTCGGAGAATCGCTAAAATACCCCTGTCTCAAAGAATAAGCTGTAAAACATTAAATTACCACGATATGACCATACAAAATGACTTGTTTTGTGCCCAAGCCATCACTCTAGGAGAAACAAGTGTCAAAAAACATCAAAAGTATCAACTTTGGATGTAAATGGAAACATTCGGTGTTCATTTTATGTAGATTTAAGTGCTGAGAAGGCAAAACACGACAAAACAAAATGGCGGCCATAATGGCGGCCATTTTGATTTTTTTTCAAAACAAAATTATGTCAAATAATTTCTACATCCTTTAGCAGTACACAGAAGTCAAAATGAAAGTGATCAGATTGATAGTAGTAAAACTATTAATGATTAACTTTGAGGTGTTGTCGGGCAGCAAACCAAATGTGACGAAAATGCTCGCAGACCCCCACCACATATAATGGCCTGTAAAAAAGTATTACTGATACCACAATCTGAGAGTATTACAGGCCTTTTCATGAGCCCAAGACATCATACTAACTGAAAATAGTGTCAAACAAAATCAGTACTGGGAGGCTACGAAATCCTATTTCTAGGCCCAGCTTTGGGAAATGAGATTTCTGAGATACCTGTTGTATTTTCCATTTAACTTGTGAAGCAAGTATTTCAGTCTGGAGGTATTAACAGTTCTGTTGTCACCAAGTTGCTGAAGTCTTCTAGTAAACAGTTTCACAATGTCTGCCAACTTCAAAACTGAACTTGCCTCATGTCTGTGATCCTCTACATATGAAATTAATTCTGCAAAAGCTATTGAATATGGTCCGATTTCATTCTGTCGTTGGTTGTTTTTTTGCTCTCAGGGATGATCTGTATTTTATATATAGATCTGTGTAGCAATGTTTATGATACACAACATCAAGTGCAAGATAACCTGCCTATCAGTTTTCTATCCTGAAGTTCATGAGCCATCAAGCGAATGTTAGAATCAAATATCATTGTTTGAGACACAGGGTCATTTCTATCTGTTGGTAAGTCACAAAAGAAACACACAGATGTCTCAGAACTCTGGATTGTGTCAGTGGATAATTCATTTTCATTTTCAGAATTATGGAAACTTATTCTCAGTTTCTTTTTCACGGGTGTTGTTGGTAGATGTTCATTTTCCACTAATTTATGTGCCCTTTTCATAGCTCTCTCAACTGCTCTAACAACACTTGTCAAAACAGTGCTTGTGCCATTTAGCTTGATTTTCTTCCAGGGTATTCTGGATTCCATTCCCATCATCTAATCTTCACAGTTCAATATTCTGTGGTAATGAATGAAACTCTAAAAGTTTGATTAAATTAATTTCCCGTTTTCTAAAGCCAGCACCTTTCATGTTTTGTCTTGTGACATTGGATGGATCAACTAATTTGCTGTCATCTTCTATCTGACATAATGCACAAATTGACCAATTTGTTTGTAACTTGCTAGTATCTGACGAACCGACAGTTGGTAAGCCTGTATTACAGGCCACGACTTCAGTATGTGATAAACTTAAAATATTTCACAACATAATCAACCTTTCTCGCTCAAAATTGCACCCAAAAATTTCAGAAATCTTCACTGAAATTCCATTCAGAAACAGACAAGGGAGATCGCTCTCATTTTATTACTGGTCAAGTTCATAAAGGGAGGTAAATTTTATGTAAGGGAGGTAAGTATGAAAAAATAGTGATTTTATGATGCTTCGATCACTAGCGTTTCAATTTTAGCAATTTCTTTGGTCTATAAAATTAAAACTGGAGTAAATATGGCCTGCCTCCAGATCATTTTATGTTTAGAATACTATAGGCCACCAATGTGCAAAATATGAACTTTCCTGCCACCAAGTATTAATTTTGCAAATAATTGTTACCAAGCCGCTCCACTATAATACATCTGGGTAAAGTATACATATGGACAAATGTTTCGTTACGCCCCACATTTTTCATAGTATCAATACGTTTTGTTTGGTTTGCATTTTATAAGTTGATGATTCAGATTCATTTTTATTCAGTATTTCGGGCATAAAGGCCTATAGTACAAATACACTTGGTACAATTAAATTCACGTGGTGGTGGTGACATTTCTTGCATTGAAGACATGTTTTAAATAAATTGCAATAGATTTGATAATATCAATATTCTTAGAATTTAACAGACTGGACAATATTTGTTTATCTCTTACAGGTGCTGATATAAATGATGAATACTTACTTCGTAAATCTGAATGCTTGGTACACACAAATAATACATGAAATTCACTTTCAATATCACCTGTATTACAATTTTTACAGATAGATTCATTTACATCATTGAAAGCTCCATTGGGTTTTCGTAAATAGTGAATTCTAAAATCATAAAAGCCAATTCTAAATGTTCACAACGCCCGTAATAACGATTTGTCTTGTAGATAAGTTGATGAATAATAAGAAAGGTATGATACTTTATAGTTAACAAGTTCTTTAATATATTATGATGCGGCGCCTCGGTATAGATTATATTAAAGTTGTCAAGCAAGAGTGAAGTAATGCAGCACAGAACCGACTTGTATGTGCTTATTCTGTAGTCGGCTGAGGCTGTTGGTGGTCTTGACGGTCACGTTTCTATGTGGACTCCAAGAGGGAATTATTACAGCTAACACACAACGTTATTTACATCGTTGTGGGAA